TTGTGCTATCTCTTTAAAGGCAGGGATTCGGTTTCCGCTCTCCCAGCTCTCTCAGAGCATGTTAATTTTAAAAATTTTTTAATGTTTAGTTTTGAGAGCGAGGGAGAGAGAGAGAATGAGTGGGGAGGGAGAGGGAAACACAGAATCCGAAGCAGGCTCCAGGCTCTGATCGTCAGCACAGAGCCCGACGTGGGGCTTGAACTCCTGAACCGTGAGATCATGACCTGAGCCAAAGTCGGACACTTACCCGACTGAGCCACCCAGGTGCCCCAGAGTGAGTTGATTTTTAAAGTTCCCAGTTTTAAGCCCCGCTGATTGTAAGAACTCCTAAAATTCGGCCCCTTTGGTTTTCAAGGCCTAATGTTATGGGGATTAGTCTTTCCCAGGTGGGCTTCCCAGAGTAAGAGTCTGTTTCTCTCCCGTCTCTGCCACCTGCAGTGTCATTCCAGTGGTCAGACCCGCAGGTCTGTTGAGCTCCCAGCTGTGGGTCTGCAACTTCCTACACTTTGATGTGGCCTCTTCTGTTCCTTTAGCTGTGGAGACCCTGCTCTGCCAGCCTTTGTGTTGTTTTCTGGGTTATGTGCACTGATGTGTCTGCTACCTGGTTGTGTCCGTGGGACGAGGTGAGCTTGGGGGCCTCCTCCTCCGCCATCTTCCCTGAAGTCTGGCTTGCGTTTCTTAACGGTCCCTGTGGTTATGCCTCCTTCTCAGGATTACTTCCTACTCAATCTGCTCCTGCCAAGACCTCCGTTTCCTTCTAATTTGTGAACCCGAAAATGTTGTAGTCAGCACTTCAGTTGTTCTTCTAAATCTTCCTTCTTCTTAAATTCCCACTTGTTCCTAAACCAGTGTTGTGTTTTTACGCCTTAGTACAAAACCACACCAGGCTGTTGCATGTAGTGTGAGCTGTTCACGGATTTGCCAAGTCGCCCCACCACCCAGAAACTAGATGCCCCCATGTGATGCCCTTTTGTTTCAGGGTTTGAAAATTGGACACACTCAAGTTTTGGGGCTTTAACAATGTAGTGTGAAAAGTCCAAGACCTGTCGTCAGAGCTCGGAATGCTTCCTTCCTGATACTGGGAAAATGAGGTCCAGCTTTTGGGTGAATCTTAAATTTGCCAGTTGATGGGACATTGTATCAGTAGCTAGTAATTATTGTTAAGCACACAATGCCTAGGAGGCAGAGACTGTTCTCATCCTCCTCTTGCATCTGGGGAAACTGAGGCACAGGTTGACTTGGTTTGCCAAATGTGACTCAGATATAAACACAGAACAGACTTATTTTTTAAATGGTTTTATAGTTTTATCTGTCTTCTCTGCTTAAGATAGTTCTGGGTATCTATTCAGGAAAAGCAGCATAAGATTTTCAGAAAATTCACTGAAATAAACCAGTTTTACACAGCTACAGCAAACACTGTAAGGAGGCAGAATTGCCTGTAGAGTGTGTGGGCCTGGGCAAATTATTTTTGCGGGGATCCTGTGTACACAGGCAATTTAAGACTTCCTCAGATCAACGTTCCAGCACCATTCTGGTGACCCAGTTTCATACAATCCCACAAAAAATTAGAACTAAAATACTGTGCTGGCCATCAGGAGCAAACTTCACCAGGAAACTCCTCTCAAAACCAGCTTGGGTCCTATAGGTGTGGGGTCCTGAAGCTCCTTGGGGCATCTGGTTGACCTGTGCTCTGAAGGGAAGGAATGGGAACCAGCTGGCCCGAGCCACCAGAGGGGACCGTGGAGAGAGGCTCTTCCAGAAGCCAGAACCCAGGTAGGACCCTGTGTGTGCTTGGGACGCCCCACCACCCACACGGTACTGTTGATTCCGGGCACTGGAAGTGGGGCTTGGAAGGTCCCCAAGAAGGCACTCCAAAGGCAGAGTTGTGGTGTTGGAAGAGGGGTCCTCAAGCACAGGGCCCGGGGCAGGGATCCTGACCGGGGCAACACTGACCGGTGGATGAAGTTTGAGCAATATTAAGACTTAAATAGCAATCACTTCCAAACTCTTGTAGCTAAAGGACCTAAGGGGGTGCAGGGAGGGGGGTAGGGAGATGGAAAGCTGTTGTAAGGAGGATGCCAGCTGGAAAGTTCTAGTATTTACAATATTCTGTTTGTGGGTTTGGTAAAAGATACTTTTTTAAAAAAAATTGTATAAAATGTTCCAACAAAGAACTACTTTCCCTTTCAAGTGACCAGCTCATCCCAGTGGTCTGTGAATGCTCTGGAACCTTCTGTGAACTGGCCCAGGGTGGGCATTAGACATCCTCTTCACCTAGATGCCACTTCTAAACAGGCTTAAAGACCGACTCTAGCAGATGGGGGCGGGGAGAGAAATGAACAAATCCAGCGTGACCTCCCAGCTCTGTCGCTTTGGGCAAGTGGTTTCTGAACCCTTGTGTTAGCATAGATGGTGCCTTATCTACAAGGGCTGAGACCAGAATTAACCTTTTATGGGGTGTATATGCCCCCAGAGAAGGTCCTTGTATGAACTCAAAATGTCAAAGGCAAATTGGAGTGGCCTCTCTAGAGAAGAAAAGATACAGCAAACAGCCATTGCTTTCAACTGTTTTATTGCTAAACTATCACGATATAAGCCGTATAAAAATACTTTACATATAGCAAAAATAAACTACATGAAACTGGAGATTAAAAACGTTTTGCATAGGAATGTGATGTACTCAAACTTCTTTAACAGTCGAGATTTTTAAGACCTAAGCCTTCCAGCACCACCCTGTTGGAGAGAATTCTATTTGTTGGAGAACTAATTCCGGTATGGTCAACATTTTCTCCCCTCGGAGGGCTGCAGAGGCAACGGGGGGGTAAGGGAGGTTCTCTGACAAAGTGTTGGGGACGTTAGGCTTGTCCCGGTTGCGATGCCGAAAGCACCCGCACTCGTGGAAACTGTACCCTTTGCTTCTGCATTCAACCCCGGACGCGGCCGGCGTGTGGTCTGCTAATGGCCGCATAAAGGCCAGGTGCTAAATGATTTTTCCAGCCCCGACATCCCATCCCCTTTGCGGGGGCGCTTTGCTTAGGGACCACCTCCAGCTCCCCAGTCACGGAAACAGTTTGTTGTTAAACTGAGGGAGGGTGGTGATGCTGGCGATCAGTGAAGGCACTCCTGACAGCAGAGGGAAACTGAAATTTGCGATCCCACTTCTTTCGGATACTTCTTAAGCATTTAGCTGGAACGCGGGAAAACACTGGCAGGGGCTGATTGGGCTCCATGAGGTTTAATGCCTGAGCCCCAGGCTTGGGAGACTGGAGGTTAGGATGTGTTGGGTAGCTGCTAAGGGGTCATCCCTCAAAGAAAAGAAAAGAAAAAAAAAAGCTGCAGGAGTTTGTCAGGAATGTCCCAACCCCCATGCCTCCTGTAAACGTGAACCAAACTGTAAGCAGGACCTCTGACGGTCTTTCGGTTGTGAACAAGAGAAAGCACTTGGAGAATGTTTTTTGACATGAAAACAAACACAGTCGGCCTCCCTTTAGTCTGGAGCAACAACCAGAACACATCAGCTTCCAATCTGTCTAAATGTGACAGCTTGCACACGGGCCAAGACTGACTTCCTGAGGCCAATGTCTTGGCTACTGGATGCAAACGAGAAAGGCCACATCAGTGCTTTCCAGTTTTCCGAAGGAATCAACCCGATTCATCTAGGGCGTGTCTATGCTGCAAAACTCCGCATGTCCTTTGGATAATGCGTACAGGGGTTACCTAGCGGGATCTGGTCAGCTCTGTAAACATTAGCCTGCACCCAGGGTTCTGTGAACTTGTCTTCCAGAATCCCGTTACAACAGGCCGTTTTGTTTTTAAATCACAATCACCTACTCGACCACTTCGTGGTGGGGGGGGGGAGCTCGGGGGGGGGGGGAGCTCAACACTTCATAAGATAGTTCTCTTCCTTGACCAGAGGAAGGCTCAGAGGTGAAGTCAGTGCCCTCTCCAGCAACAAAAGAGAGGATTCCTTCTTCTACAAAGCCACCCCCTTCTTTCTCCAAAGATGCTTTCTTCTTAGACTCAGGTGACTGATGAGCTCTGAGGTGGGTAGCTTTGTGGGGCTTTTTTTGTTGTTTTGTGCTTTTGTATTTTTGTTTTGTGTTTTTGCTAGCATGATTCACGAATTTTCAAGAATACATCATTTCTCTAGGAGTGGGGGGGGGGATCCTCAACATCTGTAAAAAGAGACACCTGAAAAAGACTTCAACCATTTATAAATATTTTCTAATTCCAACAGGGGTGGGTGACATTTTCGGGACAGATAAAAAGCCTAAAAAACAGATAAGAAAATAAAATTTAATAACCTACTAATTTGGATTGCCATTATATATTATCAAGCAGCAGTATTTTTGTACAATACAGGAAGACTTGCAAACTCTGGAAGTATACTACATTCAGCAACACGGTAGATTCCTGTTGGCAGTGCTACATATTTACATTACCTTGGATGTAGCAAGTGCAAACCTCCACCTGAGACCCTTCTCACACGTGCAACACACACATCGTTCCCACTTAGAAAGCCTTACTTTCTCCTCAGAGGATCCTATTGTCTCTTCCCAGACTGAAACTATTTCGTGAGCAATTCCTCTTGGCAACATTTCCTCCTGGCATCAGTTACTGACCAAACTTTCCTGCTAGCTGTCGGTTCCTAATACACATTCTCTCGCCTGTTTGTCTCAAAACGAATGCTCTTTGTTTCTCCTTCCTTCGCTATTTGGTAGAGTTGTTTACAAAAGGGCTTCCTCTAATATCCAGCCTAGGAGGTCTTAGAAAAAGCTTGTGCGTGCATTATACACACATGTACGTGCACAGATTCGTACAAGAGCTCGAACTAGCAGGAGGCCCTTTTCACTAACCTAGAAGATTGATGGAAAACGCATTAGCCCTTGTTCGTCTCATCCAGGCACAATGGAGCAGAGCGACTTTGCTTATAATAGCAGGAAGGCACTTGGGTAAAACATTCAGATAACTGAGGAAGGTCAACATCCTTCATGTGCAACAAAAAAAAAAAAAAAAAAAGGAAATGGTTCCTAGTCAGGTCGGGTGAGAACAGATCAGTCACCAAGCACTTTTAACTCTGCCCCAGTTAAGTCCAATATTGCTGGGAAACTGCTGGTATAAGGAAACTTTTCATGAATTCGGAAGAATTTCACATCCCAGGAGCTCTGCAGCAACGGTCAAGTTCTCACCCGCATTTTGCGTAAAAGCAGATTTTGCTGAACTTTGTGCTTGGGTGGAAGAGAGGTCCCCAGGTGTTGGGGGGGGGTGGGGGACATGCTGGGTCTCTATTAAAAGGTCACACCCTGGGCGTTCTGTCCACTCTCTGGAGCACCGGACGCACCAGGCCCTAGTCCCCAGGCCGTGCTCCCGGCAGGGCTATGGGGAAGGTTTAACCTCTGCGTAACCTTAACAAGAAAGCCAGGACGTGTATATCCCCCGGGGAGAGCCCTGACCGGCCAGGATTCTCTTCCTAGGCCTCTATCTAGCAGATCTGCCTGAGCAATCGCGAAGCACAGCCTTTCGAAGAGCGCCGGGAACGTCTGCGCTGTTTTGATTATCGGGGAAGAAACCGAACTGCTGAACACGGACCCCCTGGCTTGTTCCGGGGTGTCTCCGACACCTGCCGCCAGGAACGCGTCTGGGTGATGAGAGCCCACCCCTGCGCAGGGCTCTGACTCTTCTGCTCCAGCGAAGGAAGACTCGTGAGGGCGCGGGGTGCCCAGCACCACGGGACCGGTCTGGGCGGAGCGCCTTCGATCTGAGGTCTACACGGAGGGCCGCTCCTCTTCGATGTGGATGCAGGCGGCTAATGCAGACAGGGCTTTGGGACCCAGGGCCCTTGGAAATGGCTTCAGGTAAAAATCGCCAATGAACTCTGGGGCCACAGCCTGAGCTCTCATCCCACGTGGAGTCTAGGCCAGAGAGAGGGAACTCCGCCCCGTCATGGGGGAACCCACTTTGAGAAACACTTGGGCCTGCCCCTCGCCTCCTCTCTCACAATTTAACAAAAATACCTTCACTTTTTTTTTTTCGGTTGGTTTAGCTCTTCGATTCCTTCTCGAAATTCAATGCATGTGCTTGAGATTCTTCTTCTTTACTAGTTTATGGAAAAGCACTCTGGCTGTTGGGAGGAAAGAAAGCAAGACCAGCAGAAAGCCCTCAGCTTGCAGGGGTGCAGAGGCGCTAACAGTGCAGCCTGGGGTCCCCGCCCCAGTCCGATGGCCCGCTGCAGGGGTGAGGAGCCGCTGGCCCGGAGAGAGCCCCAGCTCCAGCCAGCTCTCTGAAGCAGAGGGGAAAAAAAAATAATTACAAATGTGTACACATGTCATAACTTAACGCCGAGTTTTAACAGGCCCTCTTGTTATGGGCCAGACAGTTGTGCTTCAGAATGAGAGTACTCAAAACTCAGGCTGGAGCTGTGGCCCAGCGGTGGCCTGGGACGGGTGATCCCTAAGGAGGCAGTCCGGCTTCCGTTTTTCTTCAGCCCCTAAGCCAGACTCTTGGGTCACGTTCCTTTGGTTGCTGTGTGAAAACTCCTTTCCTTCAAAAGGTACAGAAGCTGTATCTGTGACCTGGAAAAATGAACGCAGGGCTGGGGTTTAATGACAGGGCCCACATCTTCCATCCCCCCCCCAGCCCCCGCCCTGGGCTCCGGGCCGGCCGGCCGGGGGCGGCTGCGGCGTGCTGGCTTGTTCGGAACTGTGTGTTTTTGGTCAGCAGGCACTTAAGGACACCATGAAAGTCAAACCGAGATGCTCTCTGGGATTTAAGACAAAAATCAAAAGGCAGAGTGTCCCCTCTGGTGTTTACACAGAGAGGTGGCGAGCTCCTGAATCGAGGGTCAGCTTTCTGCCCACACATTGTCCCGCGTGCGGCCTCCGGGCCAGGAGATGTACAGGAAAGAGAACAGAAGGTGAGAGGCAGTGGAGGGCTCCGAGGGGTCAGATACGGGAGGTTTCTTCCTAACGGCATCTTCTACGTCTGATTTCTGGCGGGAGGTCCTGAAAACTCCTTCCTGATAATTTCATTAACTACAAAAGAAAAGAGAGAAAGAGAGAGAGAGAGGAGGGGCGAGTGAGCGGGCACCAACAACACGGGTCGGATTAGCTTTCTAGAACCTTTAAAAAAAAATGCACTTTTGTTCTCTCCATTTGACAATTTTTAACATAGGAAATGCCTTCCTGTGCTCAGTTTTCCCGGATGATCATATTTTGTGCTACAGTTTTGTCAGTGGAGGGGACTGTACAAAATGGTGACAGAAACGAGCTCGGCCCTAGGGCAGGATCTAAGCCTGTTCAGGCTCTCTGAGGCCGCCACACTCCCTCCCTTATCACAGCATCCAGAAAATACCTACTGAGGGACTAAACCATAGTTGACCCACAAAACAGTTCTCGAAAGAGAGACTTTTCCAGAGAGAGTAGATGGAAATACCACGAAGAGTAGCTATCCGTGTAGACAAGATCTCTAGACAAGATCTCTCTCAGTTCAGCCAGGAATTACACACACACACACACACACACACACACACACACACACACACACACACACGCTGTCCTCTCAGGGGCTTTGGAAACTTTGGCCACCCCCTCCCCCTCAGAAGGGAACCGGGAACGTGATGTCCTCTCCCCGCCCCTCTCAGCCCCTTAGCCGGGGCCCTGGTCTCTGTAAGCAGGGCAATAAGGTGTTAGAATGTGGATCTGGCAAAAAGGGCTTCCTTCAGCCTTCTCGGTAAAAAGCTGCTCTCTCTGGCAGCCCAGGCAGAGGTGTGCACGCGCTCCGAGGGGGGAGTCCCCGCGCCTGTGCAGGGGGATGGGTCCGCAGGTCCCAGGGGCCGGAGGAGAGAGGAGGGAGCCCCCTGCTAGGTGCCTTGTGGGGGGGGGGGTCACTGAATCTCCCCTCAGTCCTTCCCCAGCCCCCTCGTACTGGGGGCGGGTCGTCACCTTCACCTTCCTGTAATCCTCCCTGCTTCTAACTGTTGAGATTTGCACCGAGCCTCCCCACGGGGCTCGAGCTGAGCCCTCTTAGGTCCAGCATGTTTTTTCCAGAAGAACCCTCCATGGACGAGAACACAAGCCCCGTAGTAAGAGGAGCACCAACGCCGACTGCCTTCGGGACGGAAAAGGCACGTTTGACCTTCGGCTCCCTCACTCCACTGGCAGCGGTGTGACTCGACCTCTCTGTGCCTCGGTTTCCTCCTCTGGCGAGTGGAACTCCTGGTGTGCACCGTTTGCTCCCCGGTAGGCACTGAGGTCCGTCGGCAATGCCCCTGGCACCCGCGTGCTAAACAGTGTTCCGTAGCTGCTGGCTCCGATCTCCACACCCCCGGCTTTGGGTCGGACTCTGAATATAGTGCTTCGCACCAGGAGGCTTCATTTTGTGCTAGAAAGTATTGAGGCCCCGCTCTCTGTTTTTCAGCTATGGGCTGAGAGCACGCGGGAGTGTGGGTTCCGGAGCCCGACAGCCAGGGTTAGAATCCCTCCTCGACTGCTTCTTCGCTTACTGACACTTGCCTCAGTCTCCCCATCTGTAAATCGGGTCTAAACATGGCTTCATCCTTCTGGAGGAGCTTGGATAAGATAATGCAAGTGCTGGAATTATCGCAGTGCCCAGAGTCCATCAGGTATTCACAGCATCGTGTGCATTAGGTATACGCGCTAGAGGTGTACGGAGGTGCACGTGCGTATTAGAATAGCAGAGCGTAGCAGCCAATCTGCTAATAGCAGCTCAGAGGATGAATTCACTTTCAGCGAACCAACATCGTTACCTGGGTGCTTACTGTATACCAGGTACCAGCTTAGCTGCCTCCCAGGGCCCCTCAAGCAGGAACCCTGTGATGAAGGGCAGCCCCCTGCCCACCCCCCCCAATCAAGTTCATGAACCCTGCCCCATGCCCGAGCCTGGAAAGCTGGGAGCCCTGGGTGAGGCAGGCAGGCAGGGAGCAGTAGCGAAAGCAGAATGCCAGGCGCAGGGAGGTGGGGTCAGTACAGCTTCATGCGAAGCTTTTCAAAGCCCGGATTCTGAAAGGCTTCCTGTTTTCTCAATCTAGGAAACTGGAGGAGTCGATCCTTAATGGAAACTTTCCACAGCCTTGGCTTTCTAAAAATACCCGGTAGGCAACGGTGCTGGCACCCCGGCCCTCGCTGAAGGGTCGTTTCCCTTCTCCGAAGGCAGGGGCCTAGGGCCGGGGCCGGGGTGGAGGCGCGTTCAAGCAGAGAGAAGCGCTTCCTACAAGCTATGGTCAGGTAGAAACTAAGAGTTGTGTCTGGAAAACTCCAGACACCGTGCACTTAGCCCTTCGTGTGGTTGGGGGTGGTGAGAAGGTGGCTGTGCGCTCAGGCCCTGAAGCGAGGCCCGCTCAAACCCCACAGAGACCTCTCTGGTGAGACGAGCCCTCTCTTGCTGAAACCTCAGAGCTGGCTGCCCTGGCCGTGAGCGAGGAGAAAGTTCTAAAGCAGGAGTGGCCCGCTGGGTGGCCCACCGCTTGGGGGGACCTGGAGTCCAAGTCGGGGAGGGTCTCCTGTCTGCAGGGAGGTCTCCCCTCTGCAGCCCCGAGTACCCGAACCACTTCCCTGATGCCCACCCCGCAACCTCTCCCTGGGCCTCTGTCCCGGCCTCTGTGCTTTATGGGACGGGGGCTCCCCGCTGCCCCTGGTTCCCCAGCTCTGCTCTCCCGCAGCGGCTCTGCCTGCCCACGGTCTCCCTTCCGCCCAAACCCCTGCTCTGGGCCCCGCCTGCATTCTTCTGGCAGAGGAAGGGCTCTATCAGCCCCCACGGCCTCTACTGCCTTTCTCCTCCCTCCCTCATTCAAGGCTCTCTGCTCCCTCTCCTCCATGAAGGCTGCCTGGGTGCTCCACACTGCAGCCCCACAGTCCTGCCCAGTCTCCTCCGTTTATTGGTTCCAGGCGATTCACTAGCTAGTGCTCTGTTCTTGTTCCCCCAGAGAATCCTCAGCTTTTAAACAGAGCCTCGTGGGGCGCCTGGGTGGCTTAGTCGGTTGAGCGTCCGACTTTCACTTGGGTCATGATCTCGCGGTTCGTGGGTTCGGGCCCCGCGTCGGGCTCTGTGCTGACTGCCAGCTCAGAGCCTGGAGCCTGTTTCAGTCTGTGACTCCCTCTCTCTCTGACCCTCCCCTGCTCATGCTGTCTCTCTCTCTCTCTCTCCTAGAAATAAATAAAACCTTAAAAAAAAATAAATAAAAATAAACAGCCTCGGGACTGAGGAGGTGCTCAATAATGCCCTTCTGGGCTTCCTTTTTCTCCTGAAGTGGTAAGTAGCCTCAGGTGGCACGGACAGCTCTGGGTCTCTTGTCCCCCCCCCCCCCCCCCCCCCGTCCCCCCACCTTGAGTGCTGAAACACGGTTCTGTATCAGCCTTCTACATTCCCTCCATTCAGTAAACACTTCGAGCATCTATCCTCGGCCAACTTCTGCATCTCTCTTCCCACCTCTTGCCAAACTGGGCCACATGCATTTCTCCAGCAGCCCCTCTCCTTGTCCCAACCCTAACTTTAACTCCTGCCCTTGTTCCGATGCCGCCTTTGCGTGGAAGCCATCTCCCACTCGTACCCTCGGGCCCTCACTTTCTCCAAAAGCAAATACCGAATTCCCAAAACACTTTGCTTGCAACATCCTAGGCCAGGTTATTTGAGTTACCCGTGTCCTCATGGTGCCATGCGCAGCGCCATGCATACAGCAGGTACCTAATGCATGCATCTCAGTCCCCCCCCCCACCCCATCAGCCTGGGTCACTTGGTTTGGGGAGACTTTCCTCTGTCATCCAACTGACAAACGGGTTGCCAATCTGTTACTTGTCGGGAGCCTTTTCTCTGCAAACTAATATAAGCCATTCGCATTTATTGAAGGCTGACTATGTGCCACGCGCTGTAATAAATGCTGAGTTTTTCTTCCACCAAACCTGGTAATACAATCCTTGGCTTACAGCTGGAGATAGGCAGTCCCTGCAGACCAGATGATGGAATCAGGATTTGAACTCCCGGCCCATGTATTAACCTGAACACTGTATGGCTACACAACTGACAAAGACCCCGAGCTATCAAGTGCAGAAGTCCTCACGTTTCTTCCGTGGCCCTGGGGTCCTCAGGGGCTTCTGTGTGTGAGAGGATAGGGCGAAGGCAGCCTCTGCTAAGTTAACAGCAGAGAAGGCCATGTGCTCAGTGGTTAAGGTGGTCACTGAGTCTCACTTTCTCAGAACAGAATTGAGGCTAATGGTGTTGCCGTTCCCACAGGCAGCCCTGACCTTTTTTCACCCTTGGGGCGAAGCTCTATGATGAAAACACTGATGAACGTGTACACAACCTCAGGGTGACTTCTCAGCCTGATGCCTGAGGCCGAAACCAGAACGGAAAAGACTGACAGACGTAAGTATATTACAATTATACATTTTTCTCTTTAAAACTCTGAAAAATCAAACATAAGAACAGAACTCTTCTCATAAAGGGCTGTTGACACAGAAGGAATATAGGAGGGATCATCAACTTTCTTCTGGAAAGGGCTAGATAAAAATATGGTCAGCACTGTGGGCCCCTTACTCAACAGCTCCGCCCTGCCCTGTCATGTGAAAGCAGCCATAGACAGTATGTGAGCAAACGGATGTGGCTGTGTGCCAATAAAACTTTATTTACCACAACAGACCAGGGGTCAGATTTGAACAGGCCGACTGGTGTGAGACATGGTGCACCAGCCCCTAGTATTATACCAACGGCAAAGTGGTGTTTTCTTCACCCACTTTTTGGGGGTGCTAACTGCAGGAGCCAATGCCTCTTTCTAATATCGTTCGTCCAACAATCCTAGGTGTTTATTTTTAAAAACTGGGATTTCTCTTAGCATCCCAGCCTGCCCTAGGCATTTTATGGTTCACTTGAAGGGCCAGACACCTGCATGCTGACTTTCATTCAGCTGAGCTCAGAGGTTCTCAACGTTTACCTTGCAGAAGAATGGCTGCTCAGAGCTGCATACAGAAAACCACCCGGATACGCACGTCAGGTGTCATTTAAAAGCCCGTCAAGGCTAATT